AAGAAAGCCGTTGTAATCAGACAAACTTCCCGCCAACTCCATTGATAACCAGACGGGCTTCGACGACATGAAAGAAAATTTATGTTTATCTCGTTACCCAATTCCTTTGAGCTGGGCCCCAACTCAATGCAATCAAAGCTGGCGTATCCTAACTCGACTGGACACCGTTAACAATACTGAATGTGTGGGGGTGGATATTCACACTCCCCACCCCGTCCTCCCCACATGAGCTGTCTCCTATGCTCCTCTATCTGGCTAAATTGAGCTTTTGATATAAGAGCAACTGAAAATCATCCCCCTTTCTGGCTTTCCTTGTTTAGTTTATATAACTAGGCTTTTGCCACGAATATTTGTAACGTTTAGTATTGAACTAAAACAACGGCGAACAGGGCTTTCCCCTTCCTGACCCGAGTGAATGTGTGTATCATGCAAATAAACAGAGCATTTATTATAACGTACCACCAAAGGGAAACTCTAATACCTTTACTCCTGTACGAGATCAATGTTGGTCCTGTGTACAACCGGCGTAGTTGATACCTCTGCTTATAATTCATCTCTAGGATTAACTTCATCTCTCGGTAGTTAGGATCAACGTTGATGAAACTGCTAATCGTATTTAATTTTTAATGGTTAATATATTAAATGTAAAGTGAGTCAAATGCCTACTGTATAGAATCAACACTAAATTGTTCTTGAATTTTGATAGAGGCAAAGATAGAACTGGACTATATTTTACGCATCCCATCCTCCTGTTTTGGCAGTATTTATAGGAAGGATGAGGACCATAGTACCAACTTACAACGCAATTTGAAAGTAGAAATCGGTACTCTACTAAATTTGGACAAACTGGAAAACAATTTTCTACTTGTTACAAAGACAAACTAACCTGACCTAACTTTCCTAGGCCTAATACATGCTATCTGAGGCTTAGTAAAGTACATATGTGTGCTATTCTAGGCCTAAGAATATTTAAGTTTTTTTTTGCTAGCTTAATTTTTTCGGACTATGAAGTAAATTGTATAAAGTTCTACTAATAGCTTAGTACGTCAATATTTGTACTATAGTACTCATAGTTACAAAACGTACTATCTAAACAGGAGGATGGGTTGTGATAATATAAATCACTATCGCTCACCGGGCAGGCTCGCGGTCAACTTAGGGGTCATGCACCGAGCGTGCGGGCAAGCATGCGGGTAAGCGCGCGGTGACACCTAAATGCGTATACTCGTTGCATTTTTCTCACCTTAATTCTCGTGCTACGTCGCTCGTTTTGGTATCATTGTGTTCGCAATTAAATTCCCTACAGATGTGTATGAATATAATGTTCAAAAGCCTGGAGTGCCTCCCCGCAGAAAAGCCTAAAGTTACCCGTGAACGAGCACCAATTTGTACACTGCAACCTAATGTGTATACTCGTTCAATTTGATAACATCAAATTTCGTGTTACGTCTTTCATTTTGGTATCAAATTGTTCGCAATAAAAAGGCGCGTATTTTAAAACTAGTCCCAGAATAATAGAGCAATAACTGGAATTTTAACAAATATTTTAATTCTGGACGCTCATTATCACAAAATTATTTATATCTTTCCAGTGTTCTGACATAAATTTTTGTGTTACATCTTTCATTTTGGTATTAAGTTGTTCGCGACGTAAAGGCGCGCATTTTAAAACTAGTCCCAACATAATAGCATAATAAATAGAATTTTAACAAATATTTTGACCAAAAGCCTATTTATAATCTTTCAAGTGTTCAGACATCAAGTTTCATGTTATATCTTTCATTTTGGTATCAAATTGTGCGCAATCTAAAGGCGCTTATTTTGATACTATCCCGAGGTCGATTAGATAAAAAAATAAATTTTATACAAATATTTTTTGTAGTGGACGCGAGTCCGGTCCAAAGTTACCGATAGTGTTTAATTAATTAAAATACAAGTGACGTTGGTAGGGAAAAGGACAGTTGCTATTCATCATGTACCAACCCAGGAATTTAATTTGGGAAATAGGTAGATAATTTAAAACTATTATATTTATGCATTTTCAAAATTACCATTGAATTGTTTTAGATAATTTATTAAATAAAACTCATAAACATCAACATACAAGCAAAATAATGCATGTAAACATTTGAATAATTTGATTAATCTTGTTATTATGCTCTAGTGGGCAGGGGAGGAGGGGTAAAAATGGGGGATTGAAAACCAGATGCAATCAACCCCCCAAAACCTTATAATCTACAATGAACCCCTAGTATAGAGGAAATGTTGTGACATATTTGAAAAGTGATTTCGAGTATATATTGAGGATATTGTCACGCACTGATCGTGACATTATTGAAAATGGGGGATTTGAAAACCAGATACCATCTCCCCCCAAACCTTAAAATCTACACCGAGCCCCTAGTATAGAGGAAAAGTATGTGACATATTTGAAAAGTGATTTCGAGTATATATTGAGATATTGTCACGCACTGATCGTGACATTGTTATTGGGATAACAGTGCTCTCTGGAGCGCACTGTAAAACTTATGTCTATTATATGTTCTTAGGGACAGGACATTGCTCTCTTTAGTTTTTGTGTTCTTATGGAAAGGTAAGTGCTTTTTGGAGCTCACTATACAAGCTATGTTTATGATGTGTTCTTATGGAAAAATAAGTGCTTTTTGGAACTCGCTGTAGAAGGAATGATTGACATGTTTTTCTGAATAAGAGAGAACTCTCTGGTGCTTACTGTAGAAGCTATGTTTATGACATTTTCTTATAGCTAATTGAGTAGCTAATTTTCTTAATAGCTAATTAGAGAACAAAATATACTTATATTTTATAAGACTTTCCATTCTCGTATAAATTTAATGAAGATTACAGACAAAATACAATGCATTCTGGAAGATGTATACCAATCCAGCGTTGTTTCGGGTTAGATTCTGTCAATGTTCTTAAACTTATCACAATAATACTAAATCCATAACCCTGGTGATTCTCTACCCACCACCCCTGACAGCTGGGCGGACAGCGCTTCGGATTCGTAGTCCTGAGGTTCCGGGTTCGATCTCCGGTGGAGGCGGAGACAAATGGGCAAAATGTTTCTTTCACCCTGATGCCCCCGTTACCTAGCAGTAAATAGGTACCTGGGAGTTAAGACAGCTGCTACGGGCTGCCTCCTGGGGGTGGAGGCCTGGTCGAGGACCGGGCCGCGGGGATACTAAGCCCCGAAATCATCTCAAGATCCTCAAGAAGATACACCCCGCCACGTCTGTACCCCTCCGACAATAAACACACCCCATCTAGCACACGTCTCACTGAACGTTTCAATTGAAGGCGTGTAAGGGATGCTTGAGCGAATTGAAAGCCGTATAAATTATATCTCTTAAATTCTGGGAACTTTTCCAAAGGGTGTTTGCACTGCACTAATAGGCAATCCAAGTAACAAATGGGACACTGACTCGACACGGGCAACTGCATGTAATTGAGAAAAACGTCACTCCCTGCTTCAGCAGTAGTAGTAGTAGTAGTAGTAGTAGTTAGTAGTAGTAGTAGTAGTAGTAGTAGCAGTAGTAGTAGTAGTTAGTAGTTAGTAGTTAGTAGTAGTAGTAGTCGTAGTGTATTTTACACGTCTCATTCGCTGAGCTAGAACATATGATCGCTTTCTTACCTGTCAAACATTTTTACGCGTTTGCGCACATGAACGCAAAGTCATATTCCAACTGAATTCTAGCAGTCGATCATTCCTGTACTAATATTTTTTTAGTGCTACATTTAATTTCTATCGTCCATTCTGCAACCGCATACATTTTCAATATATAAAAAATGTATTATTCTACAAGGGATTTCCACTTACGCCTAATGTATCTTGCATACTATCAGTAAAATAAGTAAATATATACTAGACTACATGAAAAAAAGAGTACATAGTGTACCAGGTATGTCAACATGTCATTACGTAACTATGTAACGCTTCACCATCAATGCTTGGGCCGCATCACCATCACCATCATCAAGAACACGAGTGAAATTGAATTGAAATTGAAATAAGTTTATTGAGGTAAAATACACACAAAGGGATGAGGTCGCTCAAGCTATTCTCACCCCGCTCAGTACATCGTTTTTCATTATCTATGTATTTACGTATGTAAGTTAGCTTAGCATTTTAAAAGTACCGAATCACCTTCTGTGGTTGATTGTTCAATAAATCCCTGAACTATATGTTTAACTGATCTCTAACCCTGTCTATGGAGGACAGAAGAAAATATATATATGCTGGTTAGCATTGTAAATGTGTGGCCACGTCTGTGGTAGAAAATAATAAAAAAAAAATAGTACATCGTGTTAATATATACATAGACACATATTACAAACAATAAACATATTACCGAACATTCTGAGAGATAAATATATACATTTCCTTAGAACACGAGTGAACCGACTAGAAATGATAGTGAGAGACCGAAGCCTCTGATGAACGCACCAAAACAAACCAATCACAGCGTACTGGGGCCACCAACTTCACCTCAAAACCCGGCAAACGAAACACTTTTGCGTCAATTACCTGCTGACATCTTCGCCGCCAGTCGCCACTGCATCTAAAGAGTCACAGCCTTCGACATCGCGAAGAATTATTAACCTGAATTTCTCAATTTCGTGCCAGAACTCCTCGCTGACCGCCATAGTGCCGCCCCCGCCATCACCTGACTCCGTTTTCTGTTGAGCGGGAAAAACACCTTCGTATAAAGCTTTTATATATATATATATATATATATATATATATATATATATATATATATATATATATATATATATATATATATAATTGCATTTAGCCCTATCTATCTATCTATCTATATAGATAAATATATAACTATATAACTTGGGGATTTTTACTGAACCCATTAATATTTTCTTCTCCTTCAATGATTAATGATTAATATGGTTACTCATTAATCAAACAATGATTAATATGTATTTTAATCACTATATTTGGGAATTCTCATACATTCTGAAAATCGGTGATTATTGCTGATGTAATTAACTTGAATGAAGTTTTTAATTCACGACTTACGTGTCTAAATAATGTTTGTTATTAACTTAAGTATTTTCGCTGACATGCATGCCCTGATTTTTTCCCCGCACTGACTTAATAACGGATAATAATATTTCTGCTTATGGGTTTAATTAAAAAATTAGCGGTAAGGAAAAAACTAAATAGGCTTTCAAGCTTTATAATATCTACACTTTAATGTTTTGCTTCGTGATTCTTTGCATTCGTTACGTAATTTTTTGTACAGCGGCATAACCCTTATCTAAGTTGTAAAAGCATTTTCCAACTGAATAATTGTAATATCAACGCTAATAATTAACGCAAATTTGATCTATTTGCAGAGTAAACTAACACGTTAACTTAGTTTAGGTTGTTATTAAATTGGCTAATGTCGTTGACAAGGCTACCGAAACTCAAACAGCCATCTTTTTAATGAGATTACGCTATACATTAGATTGCACTATGGCAAACGAATATGTGAATTTTGCGAAACCTCTTAATACGATGTCCAGAGTCAATCGAAAGCCTAGTATATCTGGCAGCTTCGGTCATTTCGTGCATGAAATGACTTTATGTAATTCGTCTTCTGGTTGTTAAAACAGAATATATGTTGTGTGGCTATTATTAGCGTATGATAGGTTGTGTTAGGCTCGGTTTCGTTTGGTTCGGTTAGTTTTTGTTAGGTTAGGTTTAAGAAGGTTTCAAAATCCGATCGCAAATCGTCCTGTGAACATGACTTAATATCATATATGTAATATTCCTAATTTTGCTGGCTTGTTGTATATAGTAAGTACCGAAGGCTCATATTTACTGCTTGGAGTTGTCCGCAAATATATCCTTGCATTGTGCAGTATTGCAGCAATGAAGCGCAAAAATTAGATTCCAGATATATATATTTATACATATGGGTATCCAGTATTTCTCTCTGCGCAGACTTGGAGTAATGTTGCCACCAAGTATTTGCGGTAAACTAATTTTATATTGGAAAACTTTGCATCCTTTGATGTTTCGTGAGTGACAGAGGGCTCCTATTTTACAGTAAACAAAATCGTGATTTTTCAGCATTGTATTTAATATTTATTTTTTTGTGCGCTAATTCAGTATATAAAACAGTATAATTTTGTATTGCACGGTCTTGAAATTTACGGACCCATTATAATCTTCCAGATAGTTACCTTTTAATTACGGTGACAACAGATTCGAGATTGTTCACTTTAGATTGCATTTGTGAAGTATTTAAAAGCTGCAGAAACAACTGAAGGCCAACAGGCCAGCTGCAATTTCTTTTTATTCTTATGCTTCTAAATATAATAGTTAAACTGTAATTAACAGTTTAATAAATGAAGTTATATGAATCTGTAAATGGTGGCACAAGTCCACTAAAAATAATTGCTAACTGTAAAGCAAGGTGGCTACCTATTCAACCTACTGTGAACTGAATAACTGAACAATGGTTAGAACTGAAGGTTCATTTTAAGAACACGAGAGAAAGTGAGAGGTGCTACACAGCTACTGGCTCACCATAGCCCGTGCTACTTGGAACTTTTTGTTCCTAGTAGCTGAATCTTAAACAACCTACTGGCTCAACATAGCCCGTGCCACTTGGAACGTTTTGCTCCCAGTAGCTGAATCTTAAACAACCTACTGGCTCAGCATAGCCCGTGCTACTTGGAACGTTTTGCTCCCAGTAGCTGAATCTTAAACAACCTACTGGCTCAGCATAGCCCGTGCTACTTGGAACGTTTTGCTCCCAGTAGCTGAATCTTAAACAACCTACTGGCTCAGCATAGCCCGTGCTACTTGGAACGTTTTGCTCCCAGTAGCTGAATCTTAAACAACCTACTGGCTCAGCATAGCCCGTGCTACTTGGAACGTTTTGCTCCCAGTAGCTGAATCTTAAACAACCTACTGGCTCAGCATAGCCCGTGCTACTTGGAACGTTTTGCTCCCAGTAGCTGAATCTTAAACAACCTACTGGCTCAGCATAGCCCGTGCTACTTGGAACGTTTTGCTCCCAGTAGCTGAATCAAAACAACAACAAACAACCGCCAAGACGTTGCCTGTGGATGTCAGTGTGAGTTGTTTTGTGTCAATAATTCATCATCTTGAACTATGTGGCTGTGTTTGGACGTTACGCGTCTACCCGCAAGGTTGCAACGAGCCGTGAAGGAGCTGAAAAGTATTTAGGACTTGAGGTGAGTCTTCCTCCTGTGTGCTAATCACATTCTGACCTCTCTTGGAGGTGACGCCTTTTTTTCAGTATGGTGCCAGTCTCTACATCATAAAGATTACAGCCTCTTAGATTTACAGCCGTTTAGTAAACTTTATTTGCCCCATCAGTGATGCAGTAAATTCTATCTAATTTTGTATTAATAATTGAATTTGATATACGGTATATAATTCTTGTTTATTTTTGCTGTTTTGTTTTCATATACTAGGCTGTCTATAGAATTATTCGAGTTCCAAAACTTGTATTTACAAATTTACATGGTTATTTTATTTGATCTTCAAACAATTTATTACACATTTATTATATATAAATGAGTGCTCACTTCATAAGCTATAGGGTAAATTAATCTTTTAATTCCTCATAGGTATATATAATTAAGTCTTATCTGTACGAATTTAATTTATATGTAAATTTCTGCAATTCTTCCGTCGCTTCGAGATCTTGATTTTTGGAATCATTTTCCTACCTTCATTGCATATCATAATTAGTATTACAATTATTATTATTATTATTATTCGAGACTTTTTATTTGAATATATAATGAAATCGAAAATTTCGTAATGTTACCAGAAATAGGGAACCACATTTTGTCTTTACTAGCATCATAATTATATTACCTCACTGTAATATATGCAGAGATTAATTTTCTGAATTTAATGTAACACAGCTATGCCGGTTATTTATTGCAAATTTAATTCAACAGCTGCTATATATATATTCTATTATTAAGCCAGCACACGACCAGGGACAACGCGAACCACTTCCACACGTTCACTCTATGTTTCATACTGAGTTAGGATTGTTGTTTCATTTGTCTCTGATTAACTGAGGCATCTCTACACTCGCCATACACCATGTATACTGCGCAATACCCTCTACACATCCTCTAAAGGCATCCTGTACATCACCCTACACACTACACACCTGTTCTACGACTAGCATAGTACATACACCCTTACACCAAAGAGCCGAAGCTCAACCCCCGCAAGCACAGCTAGTTGAGTACCTGGCCTAAGCCATCAAACACGCTTTACAATCTCTACACCTCTCCTAGACCCCCTACACACTGAACCCATGCCCCGACACCCCTCTCTACCACCTAACAATGTTCCTATCAATGTTTTCGTCAATACTTGAGAATAGGAGTTTCGAACGATAAGGATTTAGGGCGCGATCCTTGAATGTCGTCACCACAGAACAACGAGAACAGCGATATCACCACGGAACAGCGATATCACAACAGAACAACCATATCACCACAGAACTACCATATCACGACATCACCACAGCGTTAACACCGCAAACCAAATTCCCTATAGAGAGGGGGAGCGAAAAACTATTTTGGCAACATAACGCACGTGAGATCCGGGCCACTAGAGAGACGAATGACCCTCAGTGAGGGGAGACTGGTGTGGGGAGAGGGGAGAGGGGTACGAGGAGTGAGGGGGAATCGGTGAAGAGCAAGGGGGAAAGGTTGAGGGGTTAGGGGGAGGGTAAGCCAGAGGTGCATAGAAAGAAGGGGGAGGGGGGAGTAAGGTAAAGGGTGGTGCGGAAGGGATGTGAGGGGAAGGAGAGGGAACGGGGAACCCGAGGGCAAGCGAGACACGTGATGAGGGTGAGCAGAGATTTTAGGCAATAATACAGAGAGGGTGAAAGGTAGGGGAAGAAAGAGATAAGAAATGTAGGGAGAGACAAGACTAAATGGCATAAAGGATAAGGGAGTAAGGATTTGAATAATAGTGGTATAAAATTGTCGGAAACAGGGTAGCTAGGCTTCCAAAGCAAAGGAAGAGGCTATTCACACTCGCCCATTTCCCTCTCATTTTTCCCTCCCTAGATTCTTACCCTTCTCTCAATTGCCCCCGTTCTCTCTCTCTCCCATCTCCTTTTACTCTTCCCCGCCTCCCATTCCCTTTACGAGTTCGTCTATATGGTGGAAATCTAACCCCCAGCTGTGATGACGTCACGTCAGATATCGAGGATGTGGGCACGTTCCAGGATCAGCTGATTGATGTCAACAAACACAAGCGGCTGAGTGGAAGATGATGAAGAAAATCTTCATCATCTTCAGTGATTGTTTACTAGTTTGTCTTCGGATTTTTGTAATGTTTACTTCTCGATAACCTTGATTTTCTCGTTTCTTCATTACTTGTTCTTGTGTTCATAATAATTGTCATATTTCTATTCCAATCGCCTATTTGATCAAAGACGAAGGTGGTAGCAGCATTAAGTAGTTTTAAGTAACTTTAAGTTTAAGTCATAATTTAGTAACAACTCGCTTGGTGGTGGTATCAGTGGTGATGTAGACCTAGTGGAACTATTGAGGATCATGATCGTATGCTGGAAACTCCTCTTTCTCTACTTTGTCACTCCAACGTTTCGGAATGAGCCTACTAGCTGCTCGATAATTAATTAGTATATTTAATTAGGGCGACATTGTAGACAGAGAGACATGCATGCGGATGGGCTACACGATTCACCTGATGAAGCAAGGTTTGCTGATGGGTTGGAGGGAACTACTGATGAAGTGATGTATATCTGAGACGATGAACACCGGCAGGACTCGATCCTGAGTCTTCGGGAGTTGGGGCGGGTAAAAGAGGGCGAGGATAGGCTATTGTGGCGTGATTGATGATCGCCGACCACCTGATATCCGGGTGGAAGGTAAACAGTCCTAGATGGAACCCTCGTGACATACTGCCTCCTGTTTGTGAAGTTATTCGAGTTAAACTCACTTTAACTGATGTTCGCAGGATTAGAATTCTAGTGTTAAGGGGATGGAACACAGGGGAAAGTGAATCAACATGAAAAATAGAATTTGAATCGAAAATATAATATATAAATGAAAACACTTATGGATTTTGAAAAATCCAAAAATAGTGAATGTTGGCCACATCTGAGCATGCCTCAAGACGATGTTAAATCACTCAGAAATTTCGCTCACACTAAAGGTGGTTTGTCATACTGAACGATGCATAAAAATGTTAGAATATTAGTAACACATACATAAGATATGAGATAGAGTAGCACAACATTATCATAATCTTTTTTTTTTATCTTTATTTAAGAAAATACAATATAAATCATATATACATGTTCTGTACTAATGAAACATTTGTTCACTAAGAATTATAATGTAGCATTGCCTTTGTAAAACTTATGTATATATGATTTATATTGTACATTATCATAATCAGCAGAATATAAGAAGACATTGGAACGGTACAGTGGGATCGAACCCGGGTCTCTGGATTCCTCACGCATACGCTTCCATATTTCATTATAGATTTATATCACGTGTTTGTGATTTCATTTAGTAGAATATATGCAATTAAATTACTAACAATTAACATATTCAAAACTTGTAAGTAAATAGCAGTAAACACAGTCTTCCCTGATAATGACTGCATAATATTCAGGAAAAGTCTAAGACCAACAAAATCCTAACCTGGCTAAGAATATTGTCTATGCATCGACAAGAATAATAAGACCAGGAACGTGAAGTCTATTAGGCCAAGTTACATATGAATACCAGTTTTCACTACAGATGGAACCTCTGAATGTTACTTGTGCTCTGTTCCTGATTGTCACTAATTCGATAGTCACTAGTTCTATAGTTCCTGACTGCCACTAGTTCTATAGCTCCTGACTGTCACTAGTGATTTAGCTCATGAATGGCATTTGTACTCGGTTTCTGACTCAGCAACAACATTCCCACCAACCATAACCCCAGGAACAGCAACAACATCCTCAGCATTACCAGGAACAGCAAAATCATCTCCAGTAACACGAAGAACAGCATCAATATTCCCAGCAACCACAAGAGCAGTAACAGCATCTTCAGCAACACAAGAGGAGCAGCATCCTCAGCAACACAAGAGGAGCAGCAGCCTCAGCAAGAGGAAGAACAAAAGAACAACGCGCCGCCGCCCCCTGGTGGCGGGGTGGATGACCCGTGGGCTGACGGGATAAGACCTGTCTCAGAGCCTCGTATTTACACCTGACATATTGAGGTATTTTCCTATCACCTCCGCCATATTGTGCTTTCTGCACCACCTGGCGAATTGGGGGAGGGTTTGGGGAGGATAGAGGTGGTAGAGAGGCGTGAGACGGGATGTGTGTGTGTGTGTGTGTGTGGAAGGAAGGAGGATAGAGGTGGTGGTGAAACGTGGGGAATTGAAGGAGCATAGGATAGGAGTGGAAAGAATGGAGAAGGAAGAAAGGGAAGGACTTAAATGCACCTGTTTTCTTGTGGTAAAAGTTTGTTTATGGGAATTGCAAGGGTGAATTTTTTGTATTGATCTATTTGTCTTTTATTTACTTAAAAATAACTATCGTTATTAGAGATGATAAACATTGGTGAAACAAAAGCACTTTGCTCATTTAGAACTTATTGCAAATGAGTAAGTGGTTGTAAGGTAGAGTAGGGTGATGGAAGGGTCATCTTAACATGGATTAGGAACTTTTTTACAGAAAAAACACAGGGTTGTGCTGTTGTGTGTGTGTGTGTATATATATATATATATATATATATATATATATATATATATATATATATATATATATATATATATATATATATATATATATATATATATATATATATATATATATATATATATATATATATATATATATATATATATATATATATATATATATATACATATATATATATATATATATATATATATATATATATATATATATATATATATATATATATATATATATATATATATATATATATATATATATATATATATATATATATATATATAATATAATATACTGATAGGGATACGCTGTCTCCTTTGATAATTCAGTTAATTATCATTGTTATTACTCCAATTAGACTAACAAGGGAGATAATTATCCAGCAGCAGTAGCTTGTTACCGGCCAGACTTCAGACAACGGGGATGAGAACTGATCAGGTGGAACTGTCCAGACACAACCAGCTGGTGTTGTGTGGGGTTGTGCTGCCATGTTGTGGAGGCCACACATGGAAGCTCTATCCCACTCATTACGTTTAATCGTTTCTCTTTTTAAATTTATGTTACCTATAGAACAATAAAAACTATCATATCTTGTCACTTTCCTGGTGTCTCTGGCGTCATACTCGATTACAGCCTATGTAATGAGTCATTACAATTTCATTCTGTCGAAGGGACTGGTGTTTGAGCCAGCATGTTATAAGTCAAGGATAGGCTTTGTAATTTTTCTGAATAGCACAGTATAGTCCTCCTTATCATCAATAAAGCAACAACAAGAACATGAACAACAACAGTGATATCATGACGACGAATTCATCATTGGTAATAATCTAAGACTCAACATTTTGCCGCCGACGCCAGCCTCATCAAAGCCAGCCGTGTATCAACACGCATATCCCCGCACGTCAACACAAACCAGTATTATTCCTCCCCACCTTCGCTCCCTGCCCTTATATCTTCACGATTCCCCATCTCGAAACAATTTAACGCTGTGATACACAGAGGAGTCTGGGTAATAATCTTGTTCCCTGGTGCATATAAATCCGGGGAAATTATCTTACCCTCTGAGGTTGAGAAGTGCATTAAAAGACCACCAGATGGTGGGTCGGTGGCATGGTCCGCCTCACAGAGGCTCGCTAGGATGCCTTGAAATTCTCAATCTCCTGTCTAGGCCTCCTGATGTCTGCGTGGGCCCCCCAGCTGTCTAGGTCCTAGCTGTTTAGACCTCTAGATATTCTCCCACTTGCTGTCTTCCCCATCACACTAATGGTATGGAGCCGCCTGTCAGAATGATAACAGTAGTCATTCAAAGTGGCAATGTTACATCCGGTCAGAATGGCAATTGTGTCGAAGGTTGGATCTGTTATCAGAGAGAACAGGTCAATGTAGATGCAGAATAGTAATGAATGTATGAAGGTATAGCAATATATGAGCGAATAGTAAGGGTGGGGAGATGCGTATTATCTCATTCGCGATGAATACGAGCCTGATGAATTATTGGTACGGGGCTGGGGGTGCCGGGGTACCGTAGATCATCATTGGTGATGAGGTGAGGCAGATGAATGATGGGTTCCTTGTCGGCCTAATCTTTACAACCGCTCTATTAAGAGCAGATTTACGGCCGGCTCACAAATTAATAACTCTGTGTTCGACTCAACTCCCTTGACGGATTGTTCAACTTTCTCCATAATTTCTGGTAAACCCGAGGTGCCTTTGGCAGTCCTTAGGTGATGGTGTGTTGGTGTGAGGAAGGTGGGTGTAGCGGGTGTGTTGGTGTGAGGAAGGTGAGTGTAGCAGGTGTGTTGGTGTGAGGAAGGTGAGTGTAGCAGGTGTGTTGGTGTGAGGAAGGTGAGTGTAGCGGGTTTGTTGGTGTGAGGAAGGTGAGTGTAGCAGGTGTGTTGGTGTGAGGAAGGTGAGTGTAGCAGGTGTGTTGGTGTGAGGAAGGTGGGTGTAGCGGGTTTGTTGGTGTGAGGAAGGTGAGTGTAGCGGATGTGTTGGTGTGAGGAAGGTGAGGGTACAACTAAAAACGTTTCTGAAAACATACTCCATTGTCAGTGCTGAAACAGAGAACACAATTACTCAGAAAAATTAGCTATCACAAAAGTTCAGAGACTTAAAAATAAATATCAAATAAAGAATAAGATAATAAAATCGTAATCCAAAAGTATGAAAGTAAAACTTCGTAAATATATACAAAAATAGAATATAATACGGAAAAAAGACTTCACGGGATATTTAGAGAAGACAAAAGAAATTGAGTAAACAGGTCAGTTGAGGACTGAGAACTGTTCAACTCGGGCTCATTTTAACACTGAAAATAGATTCTAAGATGCTGAGGTCGAGTCGAAACAGTGAAGGGGCCCGAATCCCCCAAAATATTCGTCCAAAATAAAAATAAAATGTTATAATTTGTTAAACAAATTTCACGTCATTTGGCATCAGCGTCGTGAAAATTTCATCCCAATATGTTAAGAAATGGATTTTATACGATTTTTTTTAATAATAAATCCGTGAGTAACCGGAACTGATGATAATGATAATACCACCAATTTACTGGAACTGAGAGATAATGCTGAACTGAGAGAGAGATAAAGAGATGCGCGCACCTGTCCGGCCCACAAAGGAGAGTAGTAGTAGCAGTGAGGGCTGGAGGGTCCACAGAGAGGATATGCAGCTAGTGCCTTCTAGGATTGCTGATTGCCACCTGGAGGGCAAAATATCACACAAATAATTATGAGTGTGTATGTTATTTTGCTGTATTTTATTATATATCACATAAATACATTGCCAAATGCCAATATTTTTTATGTCTTCCAAATTTATTTTATTGGAGGGGAGGGATTTGTTCTCATTTTTTCTTATCTGATTGTGTCGTGGCTTCTACATATTAGAGAATGCATACCCATCACTATGTGAAGTTTGAACGAAATTGGTTCATCATGTAAATCAGCCACAGGTGGCAGAACCTGTTATTTTTAAACTATTTTGGCCGATTTTTTTTTTCACAGATTTCAAACTCATTCTTTTTTGTCTCTTTAGGTTGTTTTGCTGAATGGAGATCAGATGAGAGCGTTATCACTTATATAAAGTATACTTATATATATCCCCTAACCCATTATCCTTATCCCTATATTTTGTTGTTTTTGGAGGGGGGGTATTTTAAATAACTAGATTTTGAGCTTTGAGACAATTTGAAAAAGCCAGTTTCTGATCGATTATCACCATTTGCACATATTATGTGCAAAGTTCTTTGTTCTAAAGAAACTTCTTTTTTTTTACATAAACGCAGACATTTTTGGAGTTATAATTTTTTCCGTCTAAATTTGGCCCATAATTGGAAGGCCACAGTGAACAAAATTTTCTTCAAAAACTGTACTCCCAAACTTAAAAAAATCAAAAGATTATGATCATCATAGCTCGTTCTTAGACCATAACAAATACAAGATACACTGGTAAACCATTACTATTTTTAAAGCTAAATTGAAAATGTATAATTTTCAATTTATTAAAATTATATATATATATATATATATATACAGTATATATATATATATATATATATATATATATATGCAACAATGATCACAAAAACACTGATCCAAGTATGCAGAATAACCACATATGAAAAATAGAAAATGCTTAACGCGTTTTCGGCTAATTCGCCTTCATCAGAGCAAAGTAGAATCAAATTCTACTTTGCTCTGATGAAGGCGAATTAGCCGAAAACGCGTTAAGCATTTTCTATTTTTCATATGTGGTTATTCTGCATATATATATATATATATATATATATATATATATATATATATATATATATATATATATTTTTATTTGTTTTGTGTTCGTTTTACGATGTTGATACATGCGCAAAAGTTGGTCCATTTGCCATGTAGAATATGCAAAAAATAAAAAATCAGAGAGTTTAAGCAAGTTTGCGGAAATCGGATCCAGGTCCCTTAAATCGCTGAGTGAGAGTGATCGCTAATACCGTAGGCGGCAACTTGCCTGAAGGAGGAAACGTGTGGAGCAAGAGTGTGTGTATATGACGGAGAAACTAACACATGATGATCAATCTTGAGGTTATCTTGAGATGATTTCGGGGCTTTTTAGTGTCCCCGCGGCCCGGTCCTCGACCAGGCCTCCACCCCCAGGAAGCAGCCCGTGACAGCTGACTAACACCTAGGTACCTATTTACTGCTAGGTAACAGGGGCATTCAGGGTGAAAGAAACTTTGCCCATTTGTTTCTCCCTCGTGCGGGAATCGAACCCGCGCCGCAGAATTACGAGTCCTGCGCGCTATCCACCAGGCTACGAGGCCAATGTGACAGTGTCAGACCACGAAGGAAGGGTTAAGACAGGAATTTCCTTAAGTACTTTCAAATTTAATAATACATCTTCAGAAGGATGGATTTAGAGTTCAGTGGGTGTGGATATATAGGCAGGAAAGAGGTGAGATGAGGTACAATGTCTTTAATGAGATAATAAGATATTAATTTTCGGTATAAAATATTCGGTATATTTATAAAATTAAAATACATATTTTCGGTATAAAAAATCGTAATTTAAAACTCTAAATATGTGCAATGAGGAAGAATTCGGCTTAAAAGTCATATTTCCAATAGGCGTCGTATTTTGATGCTTGTCCTCCAACTCACGGATCTATGAAATTGGGTTAAAAATACATAACTACCCTAGTTATTCTTACTAATGACTCTGAATGTAGTTATTCCAGCAAGTATAATTAACAACATATATTTTTAGTTTTCATTCCCTTTAACGAGGCTTTTGCCTTACATAAATATCACGTCCATGTAAATAACTGATTTTTTTAACTTAAAATTAAATTTCAAGCTGCATCTGATTGTTATACTCAATTAATCCGGTTATTCATACCTAGCATGCAAGCTTTGAAGTCTCAGATATCAGAAAATTTTTGAGCCGTGTAATGGTTTAGATGAAGCAGTGTATACCAGTCAGAAATGTAAATGATATGCAGAATGAGAGAAAAGTAGTATTAAACTACAAAAAATTTTGCAGTTTACCGAAAATATGTATTTTTCTGACTGTATTAAACTACAAAAGATTTTGTAGTTTAAATCACACGCACTCATCTCCACCCCCCCCCCTACACACACACGCACACACACACACACACACACACACACACACACACACACACACACACACACACACACACACACACACACACACACACACACACACACACACACACACACACCCCTCCCCTCTCCCCCTACACACGCACGGACACATTACACATAATATATAATTTAATAGTAAGAGGACAGCCTAGTTTGAGAATAACGGAACAGTGATGAGACATCAATATGCAGCAGGCGGACATGTCACCTATTGACAGGTTGTCAACAGACACCGGCGCTGCCCCACAATTATCAACGGTCTCGTATCTGGCCCGACTCTTGACAGCACCTCTTGACAACCCCCTCCACTTGCCAGCACTTTTTGACATCCCCCTCCACTTGCCAGCACTTCTTGACATCCTCCTCCACTTGCCAGCACCTCTTGACATCCCCCTCCACTTGGGCAAGCCTTTTTCCTGACAACACCATTTGACAACTAACTTCTCTGGCATACACACCCTGTCCATGAAGGACAGAAGAGAATGTATATATGTTGGTTAGCATTGTAAATGTGTGGCCACGTCTGTGGTAGAAAATAATAATAAATAAAAAGTATAGCTTGTCATACAAGGACCTTTCATAACCCCCATCACACACTCTCCAACACTCACTCAAACACACTCAAACTCGTGCATTCACTCAGGAAACAGACTCACTCAGAGACTCACACAGCACATATGTAAGACCAATATTGGAGAATGCGGAACCTGCTCATAAAAAAAAACATAAAAGAAGTTGATAAAATCCAAAGATTTGGGCGAGTCCAATCTCTGAGGGAGAGGAGCTGAGATGCCAGGCTTTGCTGAGACG